CATAGGCGAGACATCCTTCTCCTCTAGCTTCTCTTTATATACACACGGCTGAGTGGAATTTGGAACACCTGGGCAGAGGCGGAGCCAGGGAGACAGAAAAGAAAACAAGGAGGGGAGCACTTAACACATATCTACACAAACATCCACTCGAAGTCAACAATTTTTCTGAAGAATGTGCTGACATGGGGGTTTAAATTGCCATGCCTCTTTTTGGCTTTCGAGCCCGTCTCAGGATTAATGCACAGGAAGCACCTGAAAACACTAAGCCAAGACAACAATTTAAATTTTACATATTTATATGTTGCATCGTTTATTTTAAGGCAGGCAGCGGTGCCCCTTTCAATTTAAGTAAAACCTGCACCAAAGAAAGAAATTAGTATTTAAAGCAAGAGCGATAAAAGCAAGAAAATCACTTAATTTGTTGTGTTATCAAAGAGGATGGTCTGAATACAGTATTTTACTATGAAATAATACAGTAACATGTTGTGAATGTAATCATTTATCCTGTACATTCACAGTAATTAACTGTGCCTGTATTGACTTCACTGTGAAATTCTAAATTACAGTATTATATTGTGAACATTACAGGTAAATACTGTAAAGTGGTAAAACAGTAATTTATTGTAAAATATTACAGCTAAATATTGTGAAATCATGGTAATATTTTATAGTGTATGTATTTAACTGACATCTCTCTGATTATTACTTAAAACATTTAAAGATGATTAATTGAGACAACTTTAAACGCCTGTCCCATCAATGAAAGAGCAAGGTGAAGGACATAATGACGTCATATCTGTCTACATCAGGTTTATTTGCCTTCACTACACAGCCACAGCGTATTCTCCTGCTACTGTAAAGTGGCTGCTGCGCAAACACTGCGGACGACCTTAAATAAGGTGCTGGACTGTGGGCAGAGCAGCCTTGCCTCTCCCTCCCTGCTGCGGTGTCTACGCTGCCTTATGTCCGCTATATAAAGTGCACACAGCCGGCAGAGCTCACAGCTCCAGTGGACAGTTCCGTGGTGCTGAACTCTCTCACACACTCTCTGCAACATGACTGGAACCATGAACGGATTCTCGTGGAAACTTTTTCTACTTTCTTGCCTGGTTGTTGTGCAGAGCTCGGCGCAAGACTTCGGACAGACGCAGTTTATTTGCACCTCGGTGCCCAAGGATATGGACTTGTGCGCGGCGACGATGCAGAACAGCGGACCGGCGGACGACCTGAAGACCACGGTCATGCAGCTGCGGGAGACCGTGCTGCAGCAGAAGGAGACCATCATGAACCAGAAGGAGACAATCAGGGAACTAACGTCCAAATTGAGCCGCTGCGAGAGCCAGAGCCTCCCGGCGGCGGGACCCGGCGGGAGGCGGCCCGGGGTGAAGAACACGATGGGGGATGTATCCCGGGGCACTACGGACACCCTGGCCCAGCTGGGGCAGACTTTACAGACGCTCAAACAGAGATTGGAGAATCTAGAGGTGAGGAGGGGAGCGAAAAGGGAATTAGATGACCCTCCTGGTAATTAATAGGAAAATAGGGTTGAGCCTCTAATTCACTGCTGCAATATTGTTTGCTTGGAGCCACATGTATTTTAGTGTTTAAATGACAGTCAGTGAGAAGCATTATGTAAAGTTAAGTCGCATTTTTGAGTAATTTGGCGCACATACAAACATAATCAGACTAGCTTCACAAAGAGTAAAAAGGACCATCTCTGATGGAGTTTAACTAAAGTATTCCCCGTGCCCCCTTTAACCCAGTGTGTCTCCCTGTGTCCGATGCAGCAGTACAGCCGAGGGAACAACACCGCGCAGGCGAACAGCCTCAAAGACCTGCTCCAGAACAAGATAGACGATATGGAGAAGCAGGTTCTGTCCCGGGTCAACACGATAGAGGAGACCAAACCGACCGTCAGGAACGAGACCGACCAGCGGAACAGAGTGGAGTCCACGCTTACCACTCTGCACCACCGCATCACAGACCTGGAGAAAGGTGCGTTTGGATTCTCAGGGCGAACGGATGTATTGCGCGCGTACAAAGCTTTCCAAACATTGAGGAGTTCTAAACAAGATCAGGTGTCATTTCATGGTTTTAAAACAGCAAGGACGTGTGAGAAATCAGTATTACAGCACCAGTCATGTCGACGCGTTCACTGTGCCGCATCTCGCTGCGCACAGTGTGAAGGAGGAGAGGAGAGCTGCAATGCTTTGCATATCTCAGGACCTGTTAGAGCTCATGCTTCGCTGAGTTTCTGTTTCCCAAAGCCCTAAACCTGAACACCCAGCTCCCCGCTGTACAGAGGTCAGAGCCGGCTGGAAAGTTTGCAGCAGGGCGCGCCTCTCACTGGCGCGTTTTGGACGGTCATTATATCGCGACTGGTACAGCGTCTCAACACTGATAGCAAATGGGCGAGAGACAGGGGAGATAGAGGCATACGACAGAAAATCATAGTCAGAAGGGTGTATCATATTTAATCCGGAGTATAGGTATTTTTACGATTTTGTAGGAAAAACAAAAACATTTTAGGGTTATAAGGTCTTTCGAATCTTTCCTCAACTGACATTACTTTAATCATATACATGCTATAATCTTAACCATGGTTTTACATACGTTAAAATATGTTCTCATTAACAAAGGTCTGCCCTCTCTGGTAGGGCTGCAATAATATCGTGTGTGGTTCAAAGTCATTTCCAATTTAAATAATGGACTAATTGTTTTGAGTCATTTTCTACTTAAATATGAATATGTAATGCTTTTCTTTGCTCCTAAATACCAGTAAATACCATTTTCTGGCAAACAATTTATCGATAAATCAAGAAAAGAATCTAACTTTTTTCTTTTCAGTATATATTGTAAACAAATCATTCATCAGTCATATGTAATCATTTTTAAATGATTTGGCTAATTAATTTAATATATACAAATGTGAATGGTTTGGACCAAATAGTCTCTGAGTAACTGAGAGAAAAGTAAAAAGTGTTACAACCGTCCCCAGTCTCCCTATAGAAATAACATAAGGTTGGTCACAGTGGAGCTGATTTGAACTATTGCTGAACAGAATAATCAAATATGGAAATGATATAGTTGCAGCCCTAATCTATAATACATTCCTGTCATCTCATCCACAGGTAAAGAAACCAGGCCCACAGATAAGTTTCAGCTCACCTTCCCCCTGAGAACCAACTACATGTACGCCAAAGCCAAGAGGAGCCTCCCTGAGATGTATTCCTTCAGCGTGTGTCTGTGGATCAAGTCCAACGCCTCCCCCGGGGTGGGGACGCCCTTCTCCTACGCAGTGCCGGGCCAGACCAACGAGCTGGTGCTGATTGAGTGGGGGAACAACCCCATGGAGATCCTCATCAATGACAAGGTATGGGAAAAGTGATCGTAAGAGAACAACATTATTTTATACATTTCTGCAGGATGTCGTTGTCGGGCTTTTTGCATTTACTTGTATCATGTTTGAGATGGAGATCGTTTTTGGAGACTGGATATAAAAATGAAGATGCTGGAACACTGGAACTAATGTCCTACAACACTGGATGTTTATTTTAAAGGCTAAGGGGCAAACAATGTCACTACAAAACAGAACACAGTCATTTCTGAAATCGTCCCTGCCATGCATATTTAACTCATCCTTACGACATATCTGCCAGTAGTCACAAAATGTCTGCACTCCAAAAGCAGAAGCAATACCCAAAGATTAAGAAGGACGTCCTTCACAATCTGGCTGATGTGACTTGGCAATGACCTAAGACCAAATGATTCCTAACATGAAAAGGACAAGTCAAATGTTTAAATATATAAATGTAGGTATATATTAATGGACATGGACAGTGCAACAATAGGAACAAGTTATAATACTTTGTGCTTCGATGACAGCTTCTCCTGTTCCAGAAATGGAAATGGGTTAAAAATAGGTGTTCATGTAGGTGAGGAACAGCGGGGAAATTTTTTCAAATGGGAAGTGATTCAGCAGGAAGAGGAGAAGGTGTGGAAGCGACAGGTTTTTCAGGCGGAGTGTGACTCTGCAACTAAAGTGTGAAAGAGACAATTGTTCACGAGAGACAAATATATGATTTTGTGTCTCTGCTGCAGGTTGCAAAGCTGCCGTTCCTCATCAACGACGGGAAATGGCATCACCTGTGCATCACGTGGACCACCCGGGACGGGATGTGGGAAGCCTTCCAGGACGGGGTGATGCGGGGAAGTGGAGAAAACCTGGCACCGTACCACCCCATCAAACCAGAGGGGGTGCTGGTCCTGGGACAAGAGCAGGTGAGAATTAATTTCCAAATCAGTGATTCTGCACAGTTATCTATTTCATTTAGGAATATTCATGAAGGAAATTAGATTGGTTGGAAATTGAAGAGGTGGCAAATTAAGGCTTTCCAATAAAATTAGTTTGTAATTTATCATCCCTGGATTGGCAAAAATAAATCATGATTTTGGCCTGCAGTTTGACGAGTAAACATTTTTAGATTTGACACAGGAAATTAGCTTGTTGCACTGTGGAAGAAATATCCAATATAAAGAGAGCATTTGGCCAATGACACTGCTTAGATAAATCCTCAATCCTCTCATGTGGTTTTATCCAAATCCACGTACATACACCTCTATACTGTAGACATTCCTACATGAGCAATTTGGGGTAAAAGGGGCCCTGCTTTGGGTTTCCCCCTTTCCTGTAGTGTGTTACATCGGATTGTGTGCATGTTAATGGTCTACAAAGGTGACAATCCCTGTGTTCACTCCAGAGGGAGTTTCTCTCCCACACACAATTGCCAAAGAGGTGCTGCAGTACAGGCAGTATGAGAAAAGTAAAGAGCTTTTTGAACATTAAAGCATGGAAACATGGTAAAGGCATAAAATACAAATATGAACCTGAAAATTAGCATAATAGGGCTCTTTATGTATTTATGTATACCCAAGGACATGACTGTAGGGTCTGGAAATAGAACAAATGATCCCCTGATTGGTAAATCTTTCATATGTGCTCAAATGCGCATCAATATCGGGGGGTTTTTCTGGATCAAAAGTTTTTCTCCAGTTCTCCGACCAGATAACACTTGAACTGTATCTTTGATGACTAACACTTGTCTGCGTTGCTCCACAGGACACGTTGGGCGGAGGCTTTGATGCGACGCAAGCTTATGTTGGTGAGCTAGCAAACCTAAATATCTGGAATAGGAAACTTTCCATCGCCGAGATCTACAACTTGGCGACCTGCAACAGCAAAGCACCGGCCGGCAACGTGTTCTCCTGGACGGAGAGCAACATCGAAATATTTGGCGGCGCGACCAAATGGACCTTCGAGCCGTGCCGTTCGCTCAACTGAACTGCAAGAGAGGCCTCTCTGTATTTCTGAGCTTTTGTCGTTCTTGTCTTCATTTGACGTTCGTTAGAGACTATTTCAGTTATATTGGTAAGCTTAAATCTGGGATTTCTATTATTCTTAGGTATTTATGTGCACTTTTCATCTTAAGGAAAAAAAAATCATCTTGGAAGCCTCGGTGAGAAGGTTTTGCTTCTCTTTCTTTTCTTAGGACTTCAGTTGAAAGCACACCTAAGCTTTTTCGTTTGGCTGACTTGGACTGGCAGCTGGCAATCTGCGCCTTATGTTCGGACAATTCACAATCCAAGAGAGGAATT